CCGAGCCGAACCAAGCCGAATGTCTGCGTGTCGTAGTGCAACTTCTCTCTCTCTCTCTCTCTCTCTTCAGTTTCTAGGAAACTGGTTGGGGTACATCAGCACAACACACAGAGGTGTGTCTCTGTGTGTGTGTGCCTAAATGATTTTGAACCAGTTCTGGAGAAACTGCGTGTCTAAAATTTAATGAAATCGCTGGCCATACAGCTACAGCTACTCTCCATTGGAAAGAGAACAACATTTGAAATGCATTCGCTATACACTGCCGGATAGCCACTGCCAATCAGCTGTGCTGATGCGGATAATTGAGATATTATTAGCCAGCCAACGGGCACACGGCATTGGCATTTGAATTAAACGTGCCGCAATTGCTGAAATGTTACCTAATGAGCTGGATATTGCATTGGCCAACAGCACACAGAAAAGAGATTACAAATCAAGCAGCGGAGCGCAATCAATGGATTTATAGCGATTGGATTTAAGTAAATTACAGTTCCGTATATGGTTCGGATAGCAATCAAAGTACTCCATTAAGCCCATAAATTGATTTGAGTGTTAATTAATTGAAACGGATTGTGAGAGGGATAACAAATAAATGCACCTTTAACTATAATTAAATCTTGTTTTAATTCGATTGGATAACAGGAAAGTCAGTTATCAAATTGGTAAATATAGTGAAAAATATATTTAATATGTTTTAAAGCCTTGTGGATAAATTCCTGATAATTTCGGAAAATCTCGGATAAAATGATGGCCCTAATATATCAAGTGAAATTTGTCTACAGCCTAATATTCAAATAATGGGTCCACCGTTTCGGATAAGCAGCTATTTTTTTTTTTTTTTTAAGAGAAATTATAAAATATATTTAATTACAGCTTAGCGCACCGCTACCTAATTGGTAACTTAATCTAAACAGATATTTACAAAAATTTATTTACTTAAAAGCTATATTAATATTAATATTATATGCATATATTCTTGTCAAATCTGGAGGTGTTAGGTCAAGACCCGATCCAGTAGGTCTTGAGAGTGGTGGCGTTTCAGTCTTCTTCTTATATTTCTACGGCAGTTGACTGCAGAGCCTAGTCGTCTGGCCAAGCTATTTGGGTGTGCATTAGGCTTCCAGTGTATTTTTTGACATCTCCTGTATTTTGTCTCTGATTTTGGTTACTTTGAGGTCGCGTTCGATGTTTCTTATTCTAATGTACCACGGAGCCCCAGTGATCTTCATTAAAGTTTTTGCTTGTAATACTCGCAGTTTATTCAAATGACATTTGGCTGCGACGCCATATATTTGAATAGCGTAAAACAAGCTAGGGGCTAATATTGTTATATAAATTTTGATTTCGTTGTCCAGCGACAGCTTATTTCGTGGTGTTAGTAGCCATGATAGCTTACCAAGTTTGGCCTTGAACGCGTGTTGCACTGATGTAACATGCCTTTGGAATGTAAGGCGCCTGTCCAGGATCACCGCGAGATATTTTTGTGCTGGTTTGGGATTCAGCGTTATTCCATTTAACGTGACTCCAGGGCATATTGGCAGCTAGAATTTTGCAATTGACATTTATCTGCTATACGACCTACTATTTAAGCTATTCTCTGTGGCAATAACTTGTCTAGCCATTCCATTCCATTTCCATTTGCAATATGTGTCAAGCACTTTACTTTAATTATGCTCATATGCCAGCGTACGTCTGTCTGGTTAGTTGTGACACACACACATCAAGGAAATGACAAACATCAAGCCAAATAAACTCAAACTCGAAACTCAAAATCTTCTTAACCCAAATTTATGCATGTGTCATAGATCGCACCATAGTTGGTCAGATGCACGTCAGCTCCATGCTAGACCGTTTGCGTAAGGCAAATCAAATTGCAAGTTAGCTTCGAAATGAAACGCAAGAGTTGACTGACATCAAATACTCTATACATGCTTAATCGATACGCAAATAAATATATTGTAAAACCTATACCAACTACTCTGCAATCAGTGATTATTTCGATAACTAATTGAGGAAAAATATGTCATTGGGATAGACTTCTTTAGACAGAGTGCAGGTCATCCCGCAGTTGCTTATACTCGATGCTAGCCGTCCTTGTTGCTTATGGCTTTTTGCACGAAAAGAGAAAACCACCGACCCAGCCTGGCCAACAGCTGAGACTTGCTGGACAGCTGCGAGTATGTCAACAGTCTCGCCCATATTTGGCAATCAATTTATTTTGTTTTTTATACATTTTTGGCTTTGGCTAGATTTGAATTGGGCTGACGCTGGTGTTGGGCTATCAAAGTCAATCAACAGGCGCACAATTCATTTGTGACAGATTATGCCTTGACTTTGTTTGGGCAGCAGTTGACAATCGCAATGAATGGATCGAATGGATCGACTGCCGTTTAGAAAGCAACGCTCTAGTCTTCGCCCCCTTTGATTGATCGCACGCAGATGTGGATAAGGTGTATATTTGATTGTTGTTGCTGTCTTTTTTTTTCTCTCTTTTTTTTTTGGCACTGTCCAACATAACAAATGGAATTTGCATTGGAAACCACAAAACGTAGCACATAAAACTTTCACTAGCTTCACTTCGGAATCGTATTTTCTGTTTCTTTTTCTTTAACGATCTGTTTAATATTATCGCTGGTGATCTTCCGGCTGAACTACTACAACATGGTGTTAATGCTAATAGCAAATGCCCATCAGTTAGCTACACATGCAACATGCTGCAAGACATTCACTTTTGCATGCAGCCCAGTCTACAGTCTGCCGAGTGCGAGACCCATTAAAATGTGCTTTGGCGAAAGGGTCTGCAGTCAAGGCTTTATAGTCGTATAGCTACTATTAAAGAGCCTCACACAAATTTGACTTGGCTCTGATCAAACGACAGAGGCAGAGGCAGAGGCAGAGGCCAAGTCAGAGTCAGAGGCTCTCTTGTTATCATTCATTTGCATAAATTTACAAGTTATTCAAATAAATCGCTTGGCGTGCTGGCAAATTGCTTTTAGCTGCCGCTTCTCACATTGATTAGGCTACAGCTTGGACATTAGGCAGCTGGTTTTTGTTCATTCGATTGTTTGTTTGTTTGCTGTTCATGCTCCAGATGTTGTGCAATGTGATATAAATCCAGAGATGCTTATGAATGAGAATGTTAAACTCGAAAAGTCAAGCCTAACACGCAACTGCAACGATGGTATGAAGAGCTAAACGCATAAAGCACTTGGCGTTAAGTCACACAAATGACTTTAATTGCTGAAATTAAAAAACAGAAACAGAAACTGAAAATATAAACAGAAATACCAAAACACTAAATTATGGCCAGCGGGCAAGCTGAAATTAACAGAGAAATCATGTAAGAATGTGAGAGTTGCGATTTGATTGACTAGCAAATGCCCTGTAGAAATGTGCTATTAGAATAGAATTATTTTGTATTTTCATGTTTTTTTTTTTTTAATCTGACTCAGCTTAAGCAACAAGCAAACTGAAGTAAATTCATATACTTATTTTCCTTATGCAGAACGTGAATTTCTAGTTTATTGAAGTACTAAAATTAATTGATGCTATATTATATATTCATATTATACTGGCCTAACTTTCTTTCTCTTGAGCTATTTTTATAATAATCATAAGCTTATACAAACCCTGATATAATCTTTAGTATGTATTGAGTTCGTGGAGGTCAAGCAAAACAACATTTATTTATGCAGCTATATCTCAAGATGGGAGTTTATATGCTGCCAATCTTCTCTTGAATGTTCCATCTCTTGCCTATGCAAACTCCCCTTGAAGTCAGTCATCTATAAACAGGGTATTTAAAGGCAAATTAAAACTGAAACATGACCAGGCTGGGTGCCATATGAAAAGCAAGTTAAAAGTTGCCGCTGGAATTTCTAAAGCAATATCAAATTGTTGCTGCTGGTTGGCTGCATAATCGGCCGAGTGTGTGCCACAGTGTTGCTTCGAGTGAAAGTACACAGAAAATAATGCGGCAGTCGGAAAGAAGCAAGCAAGCAGCCAGCCAGCCAGCCAGCCAGCTAGTCGGCCAGTCAGCCAGGCAGGCAGGGAACGAAGGCAGATTCCACATTGGTCAGAGACGGAGCTTAAAGTTTATGACTCTATGGCTATGGTGATGGCCACATGCTGATGGCCCGACATGCGCTGGCAATTTCGAAATTTCATAAATTGGACAGCAACACGCATGCGCCAGCAGCTGCAACATGTTGGTTGCTGCTGCTGTTGTTGCTGCTGTTGCTGCTGCAGCTGCAATTCGGCCACAATTGCAGTCAGAACAGATTAGAAATGTCCGGCGCGTTGAATTTAAATGAGTTTTCGCTACATCTCAGCCGGCTAATTGCAAATTGGGCTTGTCAGCATTCATCATGCGCATATGAATATGAATATTCAGTTGAATATCCGTGCACATATAGCTCTAATAATATACATAGCTTTGTGCATATCGTTTCTGCAAATGGAGCAACATTACGTATGCGCAATTTTCCAAGTCTCAGGCCAACCGAATTAGCATGCAACAGGATTTGCAAATGTGACTGGGCGGGGATTCAAGAGAAGCCATAAAGTCAAGTGGATATTTTGTAGCGGCTCTATTAATTATATGTAGCATATTATGTAATAATGGGTGGATTCCTAAGGCGCGCGAGAGAGCTTGATGATTTATGATGAATAAAGCAATTATAATTTAATTTGATTAGTTCTTAAGATTGCTTAAGGCTGATGATTATTTATGTAAACCTTTGTATATATTTAAAATACTATCCAAATATTTTTTATAAATTATAAATAGTGTCAATTTAATTTATTCATGTGAAAAATAAACAAAATTTTTGAAACAAATACAACTGAATTTTCTTTAAAGCTTTGCTATCTTTCAATACCTGATTGTATATCTAAAATTGTATTTAAATTTCTAGAGTATATCGTAATCTGCTTACAACTCAATTCACAGGAAATATGATGGTAGACTAATCTCAAATGTCCAATATATCTACTTGCAGCAACCAGTTGAGCCACAAATTGAAGCCCACTCCCGCACCGCGCATGAGCAGCTGCGGTAGCAGACAACAGCGCAAGATGGAGCAGCCCGGCAGCAGTTACTATACGCAAACGGAAAGCGAATTGCTGCAGCTGGAGGCTGGAGGTGCAGCGCCCTATCCACAGCAGCAGCAGCAACAGTTACAACAACAACATCAACAGCAGCAGCAGCAACAACAACAACAACAACAACAACAGCAACAGCAACAGCTCGCTGCTAGCAGCATTAGCATTAGCAACCACTCAACCACTTCGACGGTCAACAATTTGGATGCCCCATCGACGGCTAGCAGCAGCGGGACGCCTTCGCATTTTGTGTCGCCGTTGCAGCGACGCCACTGCCAGCCGCCCAATCATTTGCCACTGAACTCGGTGGTTGCCACGCCGCTGCGCACCGCTAGCTACAAGACGGCCGCAACCGCCAGTGTCTATCATCATAGCCACCATCAGCAGCTGGACTTTCAGCGCAATTCACAGTCGGACGACGACAGTGGCTGTGCTCTGGAGGAGTACACCTGGGTGCCGCCGGGTCTGCGACCCGATCAGGTGAGCAATGAGCAATGAGGGATGGGGCGTGTGGTGATGGGGCGTGGTGCGCAAACACAACACACATGACTGCAATTTGTCGCAGCTAATTAGGTGAAATCAAAAAGCCAACGGCTGCATTGATTTCCATGTGGTTACCATGTGGTTGCCATGTGGTTTTCTTTTTGACCACCTGCCGTGGGCAATTGACTTTTGATTTCGTTTTGCCTTGGCCACGGCCCCAAAAAAATCAGAGCCAGAGCCAGTTCACTGACGTTGCGTTTAAGGAAATTCGAGCAGTTTAATTGACGGTGAAAAGCGGCTTTTCCATTTTGTTTTTCGGTTCGATAATTATCGCCCCAATCTGGCGGCTGGCAATCGATCCGAAAAGCGAAAGTATTTTGTAATTAAATCGCTTGTTGCCCGCATTTTGCTTGCATAACGGGCGCGGGAAAAACTAAACGAAAATAACTGAAAAATCGAACTGTAATCGTTTGGGCAGTTCGTTTGTTTCTGTTTTTCCAGCCATTCTGCTGGCTCATGACTTTTTCGCGACATTTTTCCACTTTCGCACGTTTTGCAGCGTGGCTTTTACTTTTGTTTTTATGTTTTTCTTCGTTTTTTATTTTTGTTGTTGGTTTTTGCTTGTCGATATTTGCGCTGTGGGCGTGCATTGTTGTTATTGGCTTTTAGCCAAGTTGGTGAAAGCGTTTTGTCAGTGGACGTTGATTAATACGTTATGGCTTGTCCCTAATGAAACGCTTCCCACGGAATTTGTCGCCAAATCGTTAAAACTAAAGTTTATGACTAATATATATATAACTGCAGTGCTTAAGTTTTTATATCTGATTATGAACAATCTCTAACTCACTCTCTCTGTCTCTGTCTCTGTCTCTGTCTCGCTTTTATCTGCTCGTTAACAGGTTCGTTTGTACTTCAGCCAACTGCCGGACGACAAAGTGCCCTACGTCAACAGTCCGGGGGAAAAGTATCGCGTGAAACAATTGCTGCACCAGCTGCCGCCCCAAGATAACGAAGTGAGTATTAGCCAAAAAACGAAGACGACAGCCAGAAAGGACTCGACTCATCAGATTGGTAGCACTAGGGAGCACTTGATGCGAAAAAGAACTCAAGCATCATAAAAATGCAGTTAATGTGGAGGAAAGCGTTTGCCAAGTTTTTTTTTTAAGAATATCGAAACGCAACCAAAGTGACAGTAAATGGAAAGAAGTAGTTTTAGCATGATCGAAGATAGAATACCCTAACAGATGGTTTATAGTCGAGCAGCGCGCAGAGAATGAGCACATGTAGAATGCATACGACTGAGTTCTCTATAAGTTTACTAAATGTATTTTATGGTTAATTAAATAAAATGAAGATTAAATTTGTCTGATCTCTAAAAACTATGCTTTATCAATATAGACAAAGTTTGCAACAAAATACTCCTTAAATGATTCTAAAAATAAAAAAATAAAAATATGAACAATAATATATAAATACATAATTTTCTGCAGATATTTCTAGAAAAAAAGTTTATTGTTGCTATACCTTCATATAATGATTTAAACCAAATTGCAATCATTCCTTCTGAAGCTCAATTCAGATAGGCCAACATATAAGATCATTGTTAAATAAGATCAGTCAACGATAATAGACTCTATTAACTACAATAACTGTAAAGTATAAGTACAGCTCCCCAGCCAGGGTATGCCAAGAGAAAAGAAAGGGAAGAATAAATTTGTATACAAAATCAAGGCACGCCCCCTGCTGCAGTGCGAGATTAAAAAAGTTGGCGTTGCCTTTTTGGAGCTGCTGTAAAAGAGATTTTAATTAATATTTACAATACAAGAAAAGTTCGCTCCAGCACCAGCGCCAGCGCCAGCTCGAGCTGCAGCTACCATTAAACATGCTTTCCCATAACCTCTGCCTTTACCTTTACGTTTACGTTTACCTTTGCTTTTGCCATTGCAGGTGCGCTATTGCCACTCGCTGAGCGACGAGGAGCGCAAGGAGCTGCGAATATTTTCGGCGCAGCGCAAGCGGGAAGCACTCGGACGTGGAGCGGTGCGGCTGTTGTCCGATGAAAGGCCCTGCAAGGGGGTAAGTACAAGTTGCAAGCTCATCTACAGTCCTTCTCCCGTCACTCCCACTCTCCCTCTTTGTCCCTGTCTTTGTTCTCCTTCAACTTAATTGTGAGCCAAGAAATTTGCATTTTATTATGAGCAACAAAGGCGGCGGCCCGAAGAAAAGGCGAGTTTCGATTTCAGTTTTTGCCAGCGCCCAGCCCAGGCAAAGTTTTGCGCAAACTTTGACAGGACTCGCTTGATGCCTTGAAATAGTGGGTGGAATGAAAATGAACAAAAAAAAAAAAATTGACAATGGCGCCTGCCAGAAACAATAAGGGACTTGTTGGTCGGTGCAGGGGAACAGAGGTGTGCGGGGGCAAATGGTTAACTTTCAAACGTCGCGTCGCGTCGCGTTGTATCGCAAGTTGGCAGCGTCTCAAATAAAAGATGACAAAAAGATTTCATTAAGTACACTTTTAGCAAACGGCAAAGTGCTGCAACAAGGCGAAAAACTGCAAATGAAAAACGTTGTTGCAGAAACAATTGCAGCAACTGCCATTGCAAACAGCAATACAAAAGGCCACTCCACGCTCCACACACACTCACGCATACACTGCGAGCTACGGCACTCGACTGCGTGGACTGCGGAGTGCGGAAAGTTGATTTCAAATACCCTATAAAGTGGATGTCACAAGCTGTATTGAAACTATGAGAGCAGCAGCGATAATAGACGCAATTTTGCTGTGGGAGTTGCGGCAATTACGTCACTTATGAAATAGAGTATCAATGCCATTTTAGGGTTTTGAAGCCGAAGACTTATGAAGTATAGGCGAAAAGTCTAGTATGTGCGTATTTCAGTTAACACTAAGAATCAAATTTGTCAGATATTTACTATATATGCTCAATTTTGGTTTATAAATTTTAAAGAAAAAGTCAAAAGACTAGATATTTTAGAGGCTCTATATATTATCTATACAGTTTCTTATAGGTTGGCTTAAAAAAAATAGTTAAACCTTATATAAGGTATTGTTATTTAGAAAAAGTCAAATATTCAATCATAATTCTGGTTTAATAGATTTTTTTTTTTTTGTTCTCAGACTCAATTGGAAATAATGACACTTACTTCCAATTTCAAGAATATTATTTGCTATTGCATATTTAAACACAGCCTATGTCTATAATATATGAATATTTATATTCAATAATAGATATATTTGCCAGAGATTTTCCCATTTTTACAGCCGATTAACATTCCCAGGTGAGCTGCTAGTCGCGCACTGTTAAGTCCAATCTGCTTGTCAGGTTTTTGGTCTGCAGCGTATAGCGAAAAGTGAATGTATATATATATTTGTATATGTATATTTAGGGAGAGAAACTGTTCAACGCAGTGAAATGGCACTAAAGCACAATGCTTGTAGCATAAAATAGTATTGTAGTAGCAGTAGCTGCAGCAGCAGTAGGTAGTGCTGCCCCTTCAGTAGAAGGTAGTGAAATATTTTCCCCCTCATGCACAAAATTTGCATTGTTATTAGCTTGGCAGTCTCTGGAGCGGAGTGCGTGCTGGCTAACCAACTCAGCTTCAACTTTCAACTTGGCCTGTCTGCTGCTGCTGCTGCTGCTGCTGCTGCATACCATATTCCATAACCCTGATCCCGTATCCCGATGCTGTTCCCGTTGCCGTCGCCAATGTCGATCCATAGCTCCCACTGTCTGCCGCAGATAGTTGTGGAGCTTGATTTTATTGTGTTCACATTCGCCACTCGTAAAACTTATTAAAAAGTTTATGCCGCATGCTGCCACGCAGTGCTGCGTGTCTGTGTCTGAGTCTGGGCAACGGGTTGGACATGCAGCAGCAACTGCAGCATCCATTTGTCCGATCCCCACCGCACCCCTTGGCCAGCCAGATGCCTCGCTGTCTGCTACGTGCGTGGGCGTTGCGGCTCGTCGGAGGTGTTGCCTGGCATTAAAGTTGTGCCCAAGTTTTTCCAGTGATTTTCTTTGGTTTTGGCTTTGGCTTTGGCTTGTTGGTCGGTGGGAGACGACGACCAAATTGGCAGCCAAGTTGCATTTATTACGCCTTGCCGCAACGACTTATATGGCAGACAGGACCGGGACCAGGGCCAGCACTGGACCGGGCCAACGCCAGGTTCAGAGTTCATTAGAGAGACAAGACGCGCGAACAGCGTGCGAAGTTTTCAATTCAAGCCAAGTTTGTCCTCTCCACTCATGTTTAATGCCAAAGTGCAGTCACATATTTGATTTCATATGTTTTGATCAATGATTCAAGGGCTTACCTTATAAGATAGTTTAGTTATTTATGATGCGACTTTTACCACTGTAAGTTATACAGTTGAAAGTTTACCTGCCGCAGACTTCTCTGGGTATTAAAAGTTGGGAAGTTTCTATAAAGGGCGACGATTTTGATTACTTAAAGGAAAGTGTGCATACTTCGTGAGCAAATAAGAAAAATTATATATGATTTAAAGAGAAATATGATCAATTAAATTTTTATGTGCATACAGATATCGTAATAACTAGAAACGCAATCAAATCCAAAGATATGTTGTGAATTAAAAATGAAAAATATTTAACCAATTTTTGATGTAGCTATTATCGCGGTATTTATATAATTATTTTGGTTAGAGTTAAGCAATAAATTGAGCGAAAGAGGGAGAGAGTTATATAAACGAAAATAGAAAAGAAATAAAAGAAATACCGTTAGATAGTCATAAATAAATTTGGTATATAGCGGTTGCTTAATGAGTGTGCTTAGTATGTAGCTACCGTAGCACGTGTGTAAACTGTTTTTGCGTAACTTGGCTAATACAACTCACATTAACTAAAGATATAAATTCTTAAGATTCTATTAAAGGAATTGAAGAAGAGCAGATATTATATAGAAAAGTAATATATTGAGAGTGCATATACTCTATAAGAAATATTTATATAGATTCAATTAGTTGATTCAGCTTGACATCTATCAAAATTCCTGCCTTTTAGCCAACCATAAATGAATATTTATTCGGTTCAAAGCATCCGAGTTCAACTGCAGATGAATGCCATATTAATGAAATCTGATAAGCTAAGTCAGATTAAATGTGATGAGCAGAAACTGACGAGCCAGAGCCAGTGCTCACAGCACAGAGCTCGGCTACTTAAAATTCACAAACCATAACTGCGACTTGCTAAACGAAGGTTAAAATGTGAACAAAGCAAATGCCGCCCACTGGAACTGGCTGGGCGGGGCGGGGCTCTGTAAAGGGAAAAGCGTGGAGGATAGCCAAGCAGAAATTATGCTTAAAGGAAATTTATGAAAACGCTCAATGAGCCTGAATGATGTCTACTCCCTTGCTGCGTCCGCTGCTGTCGCTGTCGCTGCTGATGCTGCCAAAAAGCACTCATATTCAGTCAAGCGTAAATGAGTCGCAGCACAAGGCCAGAAACGTGCGTCAAACTTGGAATCTGAGTCGGGGTCAGGGACACGGAGTCAGAGTCAGAGTCTCAATGAGAGACAGAGACAGAGCCAGGACCAGAGTTGGCAAATGATTTGGCCAGCTCCGATTTTCCACACGAACAACAATGGAGTCAACTGTCGAGCGCTGAGCGGATGTGACAGCCGAGCTTGACAAGGATGTGACACTAAAGGTCGTCCCGGCAACGATGAAATACAAAATAATTATTAAGAAAATGCCATGAAATATATTTCATTTTTTTTCCCACTGAACTGGGGGAGTGCATATAAAAGGTAGCTGGCAAATATTGTTGCCTCGCTGTGCCTGTTAAGCAAAAAGTTTATGTACTGAAAAGGGCACGATAACGAGCGTCATTAATAATTTGAAGGCACTGTGCAATGAGCGAGAGAGAGCGCGATAGAGTGAATAAATGAAAAAGGCGAGGCAGCGGAGAATTGGGCAGGAAATTGTCTTGCTTGTTGGTGCTGCAAAGTTTGTCGGGCACAGCGCCAAAGTTGGGATTAGGACAGACACACGAAATGGGTTACGAACAGGAGCAGCCAGCTAGGGCTGTGTGCCAGGTGGCGCCTCCGCGTGGCAGCCAGCTACAATTTGTCAATAGCATAATTGTCTGCAGTGCAGCGCTGGAGGACTCCACGGTTCAGGGTTCATCAATTGCATGGCGACTAGCGACTGGCGACGGGCGACTGGGATTAATTGGATTGATAAGATAAATGAGCAGCGATTGCTGTTAAACACACGACATTTGGCAGCAGCGGCAGCAGCAGTGGCGCAAATCCTGAAAAATGTCCTTTTAAGTGGACACATGGCAAATGGAACTGGCAAAACTTTTGCACTTGCAATTTAGTTTGGCCACAGAATAACTAAGTTTTACTTACTTAGTGCACTTGTTCCGGCCAAAAGTTGTCTAAGCCACAACAAAGTGCTGGCCCCGAAAAAGAGAACTAGAGAGAACTAGAGAAAGAAGCAATCCTCAACCGCAACAGGATGCGCAAAAATACATCATTAGCGACCGGGCCTGGTATGGAGCCTAATTAAAGTGCGTGGTGGCTGCCTTTGCCGCTGTGAAGGGAATGAGAAAGAGACGAAGTTGGCAACAATTAACGACGCATGCAGTGGGCCAAGTTGTCAGGCCAAGGAAATTATCAGCCCTGTCAGCAGAAACTGGAGTTGGGGCTGAGGCTGGCGCCTGGGAGGTACTGGCTGTCAATGTTTAATGGCTTGCAAAAGTAAATGTTGATTGCGGGCGTGGGGTGTGGGGTGTGGGGTGTGGGGTGAGGGGAGTGGGAGGCCAACCAACTGGCATCCGACTGAGGTTTAATAGCCTGGAAAGTTAAGAAGCTGCAAGCAGCCTAGTCAACAGTTCCACCACTCCACAGCACTCCAACAATGTCCTTGCAACGTCTTGTGGCTTTTGCGGCCCTGCTGGGGTAATTTGCGTGCGCGAATTGTGGACGCGGGGCTGGGAGGGGGGGTGAGCAAACCAGTACAGGAAACGCTAGCTGAAACGAAAATGGCGCAAATTGGCGACGGCTTTTGTCGTAGCTAAAAGCTCAGCGAGTAACAAAAGGGTTTGGGGCCTAAGGGCTGACTAGCCGCAAAATGGCAGCCGCCTCGCATGTGCCACAACTTTTTTGGCGTGGGCCACCGAAATAGCATTCATAAATCAGGGCAATAGCGTTAATTGCTTTGCATGCTCATAAAATGGAACGAAGTTGGGGGATTTCCTTCTCAAAGGTTCAAGAAGTGGCAAATAGGTTTCCGAAATGAAATAAAATGTTGGGTATTCGGCTACAACAAAGACATTAACTTGGCTAGAACTTATTAAAAAGTTAGCTAAAACCTATTAGAAATGGAGATATCTAATGGAATTTTCTATATTTGTCAGATATGCCACCTAATGTATTCGTGGGAATGATATTAGCAGAATATTCTATTTACAACCTGATTCTCATGGGCTTAGCATAATATTAATACTATTTCCAAATGCCTAATTTTTTCCAGTGCAATTAAGAGCTTATTTCAATTATGAACTTCATTATCTGCAGCTCAGAAGCTTTCATTAGTCGAAAAGAAAATAGTTATTTTATGCATCCAAGAAGTGGACTAGATTTTTTCAGTGTAAGAAGTTATAAATCTTCAAAATGCTACACAAGTTCAGGAGCTTATAATATAGCGGAATTTCAAATTATCTTGTTAGCTTAAATATAGCTATTTTCAGGAAATACACAGATCAATTTGTTATAAGTATCAGAGTAAAGAAGTTGCTCGCGGTAGATCCAACTATATATGATTCTACCTGATGTATGTATGTATAAAATTTGGTATTATTCGGTGTTATTCAAACTTACTTTTCTAATGCTGCAGAGTCTCTGCGAATCTATTAATAACGTTCTCATACTACATCGCCATCGCATTAGCCTGTTTACCGCATGTTCTTCCGCATTTGCTTCAGTTCCAAGTAACTAGGAATCTTATATAGCTGCCGCCCTCAGGGACGTTTTCTTTCTGGGAAGGCAAACATATTCCTTAAGCAGTGTACGAGGACATTAGCTCTCTTGACCCTATTACGTTGCTTGCTCTACGTAAATGAGTTCATTATGCGAATTGCTTCAACTTTAACGAGTTGAGGTTGAGTCATTAAAACTGCGCTTCCGTTTGGGTTGGTTCCGTGACAACAGCCAGAGCAGCAGCAGCAGCAGCAGCAACTCCTACCTCGACTCCTGCTCCAACTTTGACTCCTACTCGTATTGCGAGTGCGACACCGACACCAGAATTTTGCTTGCGGCCTTTTCTCGTGTTTCGTGCTCCGTGTTTTATCCAAACAGTTTAAAGTCTCTGGTTTTTCCACTCTCTAGGGAGCACTTCTGCGACGAGGCCGGGCACATGGCCGGCAGCTATTTTTGCATTATTTCCGTTGTGAAAAAGCAAAACCACAAAGTAATCGTGAGAGTGAGGGCGAGGGCGAGGGATGGATGGTTGAGGGAGGGGGTGTTTGGCGTTCTGTTCTCGTGCTGGTTCTGTGCCATGTCCTCGCTTGGGGGGCTTAAGCGTTTTATTACCGTTATTTAGCATTTATAGTCGCTTAAATATTTTGCCCAACCAAAGCAGACGCTGCAGATTTCTATCGCCACGTTGTCTCCCCGTGCAGAACTTTAGCATATTTTTGTTATTTATACGATATATATCTAATGTCTCTCTCTCTCTCTTCTCATTGCAGTGCAATGAACAGCTCTCCGGCGGTGACATTGTGGTCTTTGCCCAGCGCTTGGGCGCCCAAGTCTGCTGGCATCCCGGCTGCTTTGTGTGCAGTGTGTGCAAGGAGCTGCTCATGGACTTGATATACTTCCATCGTGATGGCAATCTCTACTGTGGCCGACATCATGCCGAAACACAGAAGCCGCGCTGCTCCGCTTGCGATGAGGTGAGTAACGAAGCTGAATAACTGATTGAATGATGGAACTCGCACAACTTGAAATTAGAATGATAATATTCGCTCTATATATAAATAATTATAGATATTATAGATATTTACCTTGATTTCCATATTTCACTTTTACTCACTCGCTACCATCTCGCTTGCTCTTCTCATCCATCACCCAGATCATCTTCTCGGATGAGTGCACGGAGGCCGAGGGTCGCACCTGGCACATGAAGCACTTCGCCTGCCAGGAGTGCGAGCACCAGCTGGGCGGCCAGCGTTACATAATGCGTGAGGGCAAGCCGTATTGCTTGGGCTGCTTTGACACCATGTTCGCCGAGTACTGTGACTACTGCGGCGAGGTCATTGGTGTGGATCAGGGCCAGATGAGCCACGATGGCCAGCATTGGCATGCGACGGATCAGTGCTTCTCCTGCTGCACGTGCCGTTGCTCGCTGCTGGGTCGTCCGTTTCTGCCGCGCCGTGGCACCATCTACTGTTCGATAGCGTGCAGCAAGGGCGAGCCGCCAACGCCTTCGGACACGAGCTCCGGTCCGCAGCTGCGGCCCACGCATCGCGCCTCCACTTCCAGTCAAATAGCGCGCTCGCCGCGACGCACTGCCGACTCGGCGGGGCGTGGCAAGACTGGGGTGGGCAATGGGCATGGTCATGGCCATGGACATGGACATGGTGGCAAGAGCACGGGCAGCGCCGGGGACTTGCTGGAGCGGCAGGAGCGCAAGCGTATGGAGGCAGCGGGCGTGGCCGATTTGCTGCTGGGTGGCTGTGTGCCTGGCATGCCGCGACCCGCCCATCCGCCGCCCATAGATCTGACAGAGCTGGGCATCAGCCTAGACAACATCTGCTCAGGTGACAAGTCGATCTTTGGCGACACGCAGCTGACATCCTCCATGCCAGACATGCTGCTGTCCAAGGCCGAGGACTCGCATAGCTATCAGAGCATAGACAAGATCAATCTGAACTCGCCCAGCAACTCGGACATGACGCAGAGCACCCAGGAGCTGGGCAACGAGCTGGAGCTGGACAATGAGTCAGTGCGTGAGCTGGAGCTGCCGCACGATGGCTACGAGCAGCTCTTCGCGGCCAAGCAGAACGAGAAGGAGGAGCACGGCCAGCAGCAGTTGGACAATCGGCCGCCGCTGAAGGAAGTGCGCTTCCACAGCGTGCAAGACACGATGTCCCGCTCGAAGAGCTACACGGACAACTCGAATGCGAGACGACGACGCCGGCGGCGCAATCAATCGCGCAGCTCCTCGGAGATGCAGATCAATCAAACGAATCTGCGACTGCACAATGCCCAAACCCAAGCCGGCAGCGGTGCACTGAATCTGCTTAACAATCTGGACAATTGCGATGTGGCGAGCATTTGCTCCACTTGCTCTTCGAGCTCCTCCAGCGACATGGACGACTATGTGTACCGTCTGCCCGCACGCAAGCATTATGGCGGTGTGCGTGTCGCCTACGTGCCCAACGACGCGCTGGCCTACGAGCGCAAGAAGAAGCTCGCCCAGTCGGGCGACACCAATGGCCAGCTGGGCAGCTCGGCCGGCAGCTGTCTGGGCGCTCCGTCTGCAACAATGCCAGCCATTATGCACGAGAACAAGAATTGCACAATATCATGACCACCTCCAATGCTGCCGCCGCCGCCGCTGAATTTGAGTAGCTATTACATCCTGGACACCATACTCGAGGAGCAAAGCCTCAGTCTGCTGCCCGAGAAGAAGCCGGGCTGCCTAAGGCGCGTCTGGAACTTCTTCGGGCTGGGTAAGGCGCGTCCGGGCAATGCACAGCGTCTATATAGCGTTTGAAATCGAGCTTCAATGGCAAATTGTGTAAATAGACATATCGATAAACACTACATACATATATACAGACATACACACACATATACAAGAAATATTGACTATACCCTAAGGATTCTGGGCATTTAAATTAGCTGTAATGTGAGCTGGTAAGACAACAATTTCTAACTTTTCTCTCTCTTCTCTTCTTCTTGTACATGATATTTATCCATTTTATCCGGCTAGCTTTTATCTTTCCTACTACACTATCCAGCTCACAAGTATTCCGAGTATTTATATATATAAGATATCACTGATTTTATCAACAACTTTGTACAAATCTAAACGGTATATCAAGCATTTACATATAGATATTATTATATATACTTTACTGTATAAGTATTGATCATAGTATAGAGCTAAGAATCTGCCAGCCACAAGAAATAAAAATGCAACGAACAATAAATTATGATGTAAAGCAACTGCCAACAAAAGAATTTGTGTATAAAACAATAAGAAATAGTGAAAAAAGAGCGAAAGTTTTCGCATAGCAAATGTGCAATAACTTATGAAGAAAATTCCCCCTCCAATCTGAGACCCTAATTTACATAGTTACAGATAAACATATACAAACATATATATATATACCTTATATATACATTAATATATACAGTTCTTTATATACAGTTTTATATCTCTTTAATTTTGTTGGCAAAAGATTCTTTTGTTTTTTTTAGAGGTATATTTAGGCTTTTATGTAATGTTTTGGCTTTCGCCCGTCGGCCTGTGTGAAAGTGAAAGAGTTATATAAAAGCGGAATGTGTCCAGAATATTTGAGAAAGTTTTTTTTTATTTTGGTTTTATGACACTTGTAAAAAATAAAATAAAACAATAACGTAAAAGGCATTTGCAAAATTGATTATGTCTATAAAATGTGAAAGAATTTGGAAAGTTAAGCCAGATATAGGTGTGGAACGCATACATATGACGAGTCTTAAGTATTACCAATTTTGTCTATATTTGGAGTTAGATCTTAAGTCTATCATTAGTATTAAAGTCAGTGTGTATGGAAACATAATCAAAAATAACAATATAAATAAATATACAATATGCATATGTGTATTTTAACGTAAACTCAACGAATAACAATTTGTGTTTCAATCGATTTATTTGCGGGGCACCAAATGCACCCAGTAGCCGCTTTGGGGTGTCAGCTGGAAACCACGCGAATCGCTCAGCAGATCTTTGACAGTCTTGGGAGAGCGTTCGATCTTGTACTTGAGCACGAGATTGTACAACATGGCCTTGGCCTGCATCAGAGCATAACGATTCCCTGGAATACACACAAATGCGTCGATTAATGTAGCGGGAGCTTATAATAAAGGAATTGGGGAAAGTTGAAAATCGAATGTGGATTTTTGAACTGGGTTCCCCAATTTCGTAAAGTTCACTCACCTATGCAATTGCGTGGACCCACGCCGAATGGCAGATACGTGTAGGGCACTAACTGATCTTTGTTCTCGTCGCTGAAGCGTTCCGGTATGAACTTGTGCGGTTCGGGGAAGAATTTGTCGTCCAAATGCAGACCCGAAATGGGTATATTGATGTGATCGCCCGCCTTGAATTCGAATAGCTTCGTGCCATCGTCATCGTAGAGCGTATAGTCCTTAGCACATTCACGATCCGTCGAAGCGGCCAGGGCCCATTTCCTCAGAGATTCGGATACAACCATGTCCAAGTACTTCATCTTAGTGACCGTATCATAGGTAAGCCTCTCACCCTTCAGCGCTTCGTGTGTTTCCCTGACCTCCTCATAAAGGCGTTCCTGCACATCGGGATTATTGAGTAGTTCGTAAGCGGTGGTGCATATCAAGCTGGCGTTATTCTCGAATGCCGCAAAGAAGAAGATGAAACATTGAGCCACCAGCTCATCGTCGCTCCACTGTTCCGCGGACTCCTTCTTGGCCTCCATGAGCAGCTGAATCATATCGGGTCGCACGATATTATTCTCCTCGCGGTATTTCATGGCGTCGACAACGAGACGAATGAAGAATTCTGTTTTCTGCGAGTCAAAGATTTTGAAACCGAGAAGCTGCAAAAGCAATTCAATTCAATTCAAGTTGAGACAAATGTCCTTTCTAGTAGATGAGCATACCTTGAACAATGTGGGCATAGCTGCGGACAGCATAAATTTGTACAGAGCCTTGCCGCGGAAGAAGGCTACCGACCTGCCGATTTCATAGAAATCATTATCTGGCGTCTTGTAGGAGCTGACCTTTAGACCAAAGGCTGTGGTTGCAATCAAATCGTTTGACAATCTATTGCACACCTCCTTCAGTTCCAGTTCGAAGCCCTCGCCGGGCTTGACAGCTGTCTTGGACATCTGATCCAAATGATCCATGCATTCGGCAAAGCTCTCGTTCATCAGACCGAACATGCTGCGCATCTTAGCTGACGTGAAGACAGGTGTTAGGGTGTTGCGCATGTGCTTCCAGCGCTGATCTCTCATCACGCTCAACATATCGTTAATCAATCGCTCGTTGGTGGAAAAGACGGCTTGATGATTTGGAAAGTAATCAAAGTCTTTGACGGTGATCTTCTTAATGAGCTCTGGATCGTTCACTTGTATCATGGGCGTGCGAAAGTTGAAGAAGCCTACCAGTTTGCTAAAAATCAATCAAAGCAAAGAGCGTACAGCAAATACTTGAGATAGGTCTGGGGCACGTTTGAAGACTTACTGTTGTCGGGTGCGAGCATAGAACTCAGCAACGAGCTTCTGGAATGAGGCCTTATTCATCACAACATCGACATTGTTACCGAAAATGGGCAAGGGTTTCTCGAAAGGCAGTCCACGCACCACAAACTCATTGTACCGCGCCGTTAACCATTTGTAAGTGAAGTAGAAGAGGCCCACCAGGGCCAGCAACAAAATAAGATCCATATTTCGACCTTGATCTTAACCCTGACAAATGCGAACAGAACGCTTCTAACCACCCGCAAGTCGCAGCTGGAACTAAATTTGCTACTGAGCAAACAAGTATTTATATGACGTCTCTCTCTCTCTCTCTCTCTCTATGGGCACTCAATAAAAAATACTTGATAGATAAAAGTTGTTGGGACTTGCGAAATTAACCCGTTTAGAATTTGTCATTTCGTGAGCGTTGCCTCCAATTTCGCGCTCTCTGCCATTGTTATCGCTCTGTCAGTACTATTATATCAAAAACAGTTGCTACGATTTCATACCCTGTAAATAAGCTGATATATATCAATGTACAATGTAGTACCAAAAGTTGCAATTAATGGGCAGATTCTAGCGGATTGTTGCCCATTCATATATTATATTGATTTCCACAAGATTTAAATTTATATTTTAACAAGATTACATGTAAGCAAACAGCTGATTAAAATGTACTTAAAAACAGATTAGAAACTTACAGAGTAAGCAAGAGAGAGAGAGAGAGAGAGAGAAAGTGATAATGAGAATATACAAAGTACTTGTACTCTAATGATAAATATAGACCTATAAAAGATAAGAATATTATGACTGACACTTTTTATCGTTTACATATTATATAAATTTATTTTTATATATACATACATTTTTTTTATGAATCAGATGCCTTTTAACAATAGATTCTCTAAAGCTATAAGATTACTGTCAACGGCAGATCGCATGGGAAATCTAAAGGGAAACGAAGACAAGTTGATATTATATTATTGTTATGTATCAATTGATATACTTTCGGCTGATGCAATTCAAAAGGGACTTGTTTTAATGTGCTCAACAGCTATTTGATAACGATAAAGCTATTACTTTTGTTTATATCAGTTGGCGCTTAGCATTCGATAAGATAGAAATGCCATTAGACCTCCATGTTGACCGAGTACAGCCAGAGCAGACGAGCTGTCTGACAGACACACATGGCTATTACATATATATTATAAATATTCCTCAAAAAATCATTCTAAACTTCAATGTACGCGGTATATAAAAAATACATAAATATTTCTCTGAGTTAGACTTTAAATTATTTAATCAAATGAAAGTCCAATGTTGTTGTTGAGTTGAGAATTGTTTGCTTGACTGACAACTTGATAGATTGATTTGCTACGCATCGCCAAAGTTGATTGAATATGGATAGAAGTTCGCTTTACCTGAGTCTTATGTAATCCATTAGAACTGCAAAGTTTTGAAAGCAAACACAAAAACTATGACATAAACAAAACCGTTTTGTTTACGGTTTGAATATTTTATCATATTGACCTATAGTTGGGCCAACTTCTCTGACTCAGACTGGGAGTTGAGCAGAGTTGAATACCTCATACAAAATACTCCATACAGACTGTGGAGCTAAACAGTTAAACAGCAAATTAGCCGCGAGCGCTCTAACAAAATGCCAGTAATTAAATATTTAGTCAGTTTGTTTAGTTTAGCTAGATGGATGGATGGATGGTTGCTTGGTTAGACATGGGTTGTCTTGACTTGGGTTGGCTTGGCTTGACTTGACTTGATTGCCAGACTGTGACTGGCACATTTCGAGCTTGGAAATTTGCAAAATGTTTGTCATTTGTTTGTTGTTAGAAAGGAAAGGCACAAGAGAAAGAGAAATAGAGAAGAGAATTGACGTTATTGACTGAAATGTGTAAATTGTATGGTAAAGCAAAACATAAATGGAAAAAACTTTCTGTATCAAGATGAGAGTAAATTCTTTGAGAATTTTAGATCATATGAAATTTTTGACTTTTATAATGATATCTACGTGTACTTAGAGATATCCAGTCTACATTGCTATACTTATAACTAAACTCTTTTTAGAATTTACGAACATTAACCATACGTGCCCATTTGTGGTAAGTATTTCAATTGTAAGTGCTTGAATTTAGTACTCTATTATTAATACATTGCCAATAGGGCATGCAAATAAATTATTAAATTAACTTAAAGCGAAGCATGATTTAAAACTGTTCTTCTATTTTACTATTCTTATTCTTCAACATCATCGGCTGTTCTATACGACACAACTGTTCTGTACGACCACTAACCATACATTATTTTATTCTTCTTACTTCTACAAACGGTTCATAATCTAGCTCGAAGCTTGCGTTCGTTCCGAACGACATTTGCCAGGGATGTCGTAACTTTTCAGATACCTACATGTATACATATTTATGTGTTTTTTTTTTTTTTTTTTTTTTTTATATCTAATATCAAAATTATGGCGAATATAATAATTAAACGCTTCCAAAAAATGTTATTAGTTGATGTATTCAACCAGAATGATTAATATGTATCTCTCTATATGTGATCTTGTTTTAGAACCGAACACTTGTGTCACTATAATTGGGGCCGACTGCTCTAAAAAATGGGATTGGGTTATGTTTACTTAAAAATCAAGAGAAAATGGTGCTTATTTTTTGTATCAATGTATTTGGAGACTTAAGAAATTTTGACTTTGACATCAAGATACAGTATTCTAATCTAAGTAGTTTCTTGGTGTAGCTTAGGCATTATTTTCGTTTACTATCCAGGTGGACGTCCAGACAGACATGATAAGATTTTATTACTTCATTCTAATCAAAAACTTATATACCACAATTTCTGACTGTTACAAATATATTCACAAAAACATAATACCCTGAATTGAAATTTGCAATTTAATTAGGGTAATGGTATCATTAATTGTACACCAAACATCGGGATCTATTTGATATTAATAGCTCTCTGATGTGGAAATATCGCTTAAGATACATTTGTACACATGCTTCCACAACTATTCTATAGTGGAGTGTCATCCGAGTACAATGGCTTTGCGGATCTTTCTTATTGCTTGCGCTATTATTCAGCTCTGGATAACTCTCAAGCCCAGTTACCATGTGAGTTGGAATCAGCACGAAATTAAAGCACCTAAATTATTTCATATATTTATAAATAGGAAGCTGAGGCTATTGAGTTCAAGATGACAAATCTGGTTTGCGAGACTCTCAATAAGTCATGGATGGTCTTCCATAAATGCAGACTTCGGGCCGTCAGTCGTAATAAGACTTGCATGTATTTGAATGGAACTATTCTGCATCCTGCGTATAAAATTCATACCCGAGTTGAAGTCTTTCAAAAGGCCAATGGCTACAAACCATGGCTCATTAATACGACTGTTGATGTCTGCCGTTTTATGAAGAAACCCTTTAATCCAGTGGCAATAGCCATAGCAAAACTTTTCATAGAATTCTCCAATTTTAACCACACGTGTCCTTATCTGGTATGTATTTACAACCGAAGTAACTGAAAGCTAGCTCATTTTCTTCAAATAGGGGCCACAAATCGTCGATGGATTTTATCTCAGATATAAATCTCTGCCACATGGTATGCCAACTGGCGAATATCTTTTGAGCTTAACTTGGAATTTTGACTGGAAACCACAGTTTATAACAAACATTTACTTTAAATTCACAGAAGACCTAAAGGCGGATGCTTAAATGTTCGATTTGTATTAAAGTCGTCTATATATTGCACACATGTGAAATCTAATGAATCTATTGAAATTGATCATACGTTCGAGTGGGTTTTAGTAATTTAACTATTTTCCAAAAATGTATTTAGTCGATGTAGTCAAGCAGAACATGTGCTTATAATTGAAAATGATTTGCACAAGATTTTTTACCTAATAGAATTCAGAAGAAATATGTTTTTTTAATATGTCCGACCAGCCTATATGCCAATTGTAAAACCAGCTTCCAGAGTGCTCCTTCATCCCAACAATGTGATCCCTGCATCAATTGGTAGGCAAAATGAGTCTTTTCCCTCTGTCTCTCTTTCTCTCTCTCTCTCTCTTTCGTTTAGCAAAACCCGAAATTGTCCTTTTCTCTCTCGGATTAATTTGACTTAGCGCAAATTCTCTGAGTATCATAAATTCCGTTAATTACAAATGATTTGCTAAGATACAAAAATATATAACAACCATTTGTATAATTTGATAAAAATTTTGTATATATAATACCACAGCTATACAAAAATATTTGTAATTATTTTTGTGGGAACTGAAGCGAAAATAGCTCCCAAGTCCTAAATAGAATTGTTATCGAATTTGTAAATACATTACTAAGTTACATTTTATACGAGAATCATCACGATGCGCACTGTTCTCATAGTTTATGGTATTCTTCAGCTTTGGATTGCTCTTAAACTGAGTTACAATGTAAGTTGGAATCTAATGAAAAAGAAAAAAAACCCGTTTGTTATTTAAGCCAGGTGTGTTTTAATTTGTTTTGATAGGAAGCTGTTATGTTTAAGATGACAAACGCTGTTTGTAAGAGCTATAACGAGTCATGGGTTGTTATTCATAAATGCAGAGTTCGAGCCATCAGCCGAAATAAGACAACGTTCAACTTTAATGCAACTTTCTTACACCCAGCCTATAAAATTCATTATCGCGCCGAACTGTTCCAAAAGGCCAATGGCTACAAGCCTTGGCTGGTAAATGCAACTGTCGACGCGTGCCGCTTCCTTAAGCGGCCATTTCATCCGTTTGCTATACTGCTGGGTAAACTCTTTCTCGAATTCTCCAATTTTAACCATACCTGTCCCTACAATGCAAGTATCCAAATCCAGCATCGTGATTTGATGATAGCAAACAATTGTTTTCTTTTCTTTTTTGAGCAGGGAACACAAATTCTTGATGGGTTTTATCTGAAATGGACGGCCCTACCGCACACATTACCAACTGGGGAATATCTATTGTGCATGACTTGGATATTAAATGGGAGTCCAACGTTCATAACCAACGTTTACTTCGTGTTTACAGAGGATTTAGCGCCGAATCACTAAATATTTCTAAGGGGCATAACATTGAAGGCTATGGCTTTATTTTCGATTTCTATAATCCCAATCTATAGATCAATAATGCTTTAGTCTCGCCTTTTGCTTTAAATACCACTCGAATCTATATCTAAAATTTATATATGAGAATCAAATATGTTTCTGAGCTAATTTGTTATGATGACTGAATCTGAAACGCAAAATACAATTTATAAGTCGATTTATCAAAATAATCCATAAGTGCTTTTTAATGGATGCAGATACTCAGTGTAATCAAACGAAACTCCGTTTATGGGGATATATAATACTTTGCAGGCCAGTCTAAATATTATTTTCAATATTGAGAACTAGATCATGGGCATCAAAATTTAAATTTGTTTGTTAGAAATATTAATAACTCTTTTTCAAAGCTATAATGTAAGTTGGTTTCAAGCATATTCCTTAGTTTAATATTTTGAATGTAACAAATTACAAATTACAAATCAATAAATGCAGTGCAGAGAAATATATCTACATATCTTGCTTTTCGTCAAAAATTATGTATGAGTGTTAAAATGTTATATTATTTCATTTTCCATATTTTATGCTTTTGCCATTAAAAATGTTAGCTACATTGATTGATTGGAATTTTCAGTCTGTTAACAGCGAGCTGCTGTTGCAGCGGTTATTCTGTTAGTATTAACAGAGTCTATGCTGATCAGTGAGACATACGCAGTTTCGTAGCTATTTAATGCGTAATAATTGGCAATGTGCTTAATAAATGAAAATAATTGAGTAACTAATTATTACATATGATTAGATAATTTAAAAATATTTTTTCGCGAGCGCTAGCAAAGTAAAGTGTAAAACGAAAAAAATTAAATTCAAGAATTTATCAGTTTATGACTGCGTAGTCAAAAGGCATATCAAAGCAAAAGAGTAATATGTTAAATTTCATTGCGTTATTTTGTAAAGAGTGAAGAGTGAAGCTGTAGTCTGCTGTTCGAGCTCTTGCTGCTTTGACCTGCACATGAGATGAAGCGCAAAAACAAAAACCGTAATTGTTTTTGATTTTCTTCATATTATTTTGTATTCGCTGCTCTCAATTTGGCAAATGTTATGTGCGCTCTTTGTATGCATTACTGCTCCATGCATTCTCTGTTATGTTAAGAAGCAATTTGAATGCTCGCTTACATATTCTGTTAGTTGTCAGTGCTGTAAATTCACATAATTAAGCATAAATTAACATTTTTATATGCAGCTCTCGACTATGGCAATGAAATCAAGGAAATTATGGCGTTGCTTGATTTTTCTGAGTGTATTTGTATCTATATGAACTTCAGGTTATTCACCCTTTCTCGCTTAACTCTCATTTTGACACGCAGTTGTTGTTGCCAGGGCCTTCCACTCGGTGGAGGCGAGGAGTGAATGTGTAAGCGTATGTGTATGTGAGTGCAGTTTATCAAAGCGGGGCAGCGACCAGTTGCCAATGGCTGTCAGTTTCCATCTCGGAATCCTTCGTCCTGGTTGCTGTCTATGCCATGCTCTGCCCCTCTCTCTCTCTCTCTCTCTCTTGCTGTATCCACATACTATATATATATCTTTTTCTTTTTTTATGCGCAAATCATGCTGCATCATTAAATCTGTTCGCTGTCTGAGGGATGCGGTTGCTGTTGTTGTTGCTGCTGGTGCTTTTTCCGTTTCGCTTTTACGATTTGCTTTCGGTTTTCTGGCCCTCGTTCAGCTTCTGCTGCTGCTGGTCGTGGCCCAAACTTCGCTTCACTGGTTTTTCATTTCTATGCACAAGAATTTATGGCTTTCAGCGTTGATTTTGTTTGGCATTTTTTATGTGTTTTTAAGTAGTCGTAAAGCGTAACACTTGATGAGATATTAAACGTTGTTTATACTAACACATATATAACAAAAGGGATGCTAAGCGTGAGCTTCGGCTTATTTATTTGACCCACACACACACACGCACACACACTGTTTCATTTTGTTTGATTTGATGGCCTTTTAAATATTGGTTTTGCATTTTTTATGATTGCCGCAAAAAAGCGGCATTTTTTATGAGCGTTTAATAGAATTGATGTGGAGACATAAAAACAAGCAACAACAGCAGCAGCAATAACAGCTTATATTCTGTTATCCTGGCTGCATATAAATGATTAGCTAAGCGAGTGAATGACACCTGCCACAAATGTCAGACACGGGCATAAAGAGACCACAAAGCCACTGCCAAGTTAAAGAGGAAGACGACAACGACGACGACGACGACGACGAGGCAGGACCTTGTCAGTGTCTGCAAACTTGTCAATGAGCACCAACTAAATATTTTATTAGGCTGTCAGCAAACACACAGACCATACAACACTGAGCATGTGTGTGTGCGTGTGTGTGTGGAGTCGTGATTGCGTGAAATTTAGTAGAGCTTGGCGCCATGTGCGAGTGTGTGTGTGTATGTGTATGTAGGGAGGCAGAGCAAAGCCTCAGACATGTAGCTCCTGATGAAACTCATCATTATCATCATCCGCCATGATGATGATGATAATGATGAGGCTGATGATGACAAGGAGGAAGCTCAAGCTCGGCGCCTGATGAAGTTGCCTTCAGTTCGGCTCTGGGGAATTTGGCGACGTTGTCGGCAAAGTTGTTGACTCTCAGCTTGTGTGTGTGTGTGTGTGTGTGTGTGTGGGTGTGGGTGTGTGTACGCTGTCTTGGCCAGCTCACAATTGGCTGTACGTGTGCAACATTTTTAAGTAGCTTTTCTTTCCGTGTTTGCCAGCTGCTCTGCCTCAAGTCTGTTTGTTTTATGGCAGCGTTTGTTTTAACTTTGTACGAGGAAAATGCTTTCTTTATATGCGGATGTGTGGAAACATATGTTTTCAATTTGCCAGCCAAATGGAAAAACTTGATTGAATTCCATGAAAATGAAGATCGATGCCGGCCGCCCGGCGATGCCGGCGATTGCCTTTAACTTTCTGCTTTAATCTCGAACTATGCAAAGTTTGTCATCAGTCAAAGTCGGCGACAGCTCCCCAAAGAGTCGCACAAATTACATTTGCGGCGTCTGCAGCACAAGAGGCACTCTCACAAACACACACACACACACACACATACACACTCGCTGAGGCACACACTTACCAACCATCAATCATACGCATCGTGTTGCGCCTGGGACGCGACTTTTGCATTTGCCACCATGATGCATGCATCGCTCGGGAATTGTCCTCAAGCGCTGGCCACTTCCTCGCATCCAGCTTCCGTTGCCATTTTGCCATTTTGCTGAATGCGTCGCCTAATTGCATGCTACATTATTTTGCAGCAGTCTTCACGCCTCGCGCTAATTGAAGGACGGCAGCGTGGCACGAGCCACGAACCGTTTGGCATGTGGCATAAGGCAGTCACTCACTTGCTGCAAATTAAAATAAATTGTGAAATTAAATGCCAAAACTTTTACTTTTGCCAGACAAACAGAGCGCACGGCTGCTGTGAGGGGGCGCAAAGAGGTGCCAGGCCCGTCGCGTACTTGGCATTGTTCGTGTGGGCGTGGCTATCTTCCTTGTTTGACTCGTATTCAGAGTGGAGCTGACAGCAGTGCTCGTGCTCGTGCTTCCGCTCCATTTGCAGAAGATTTCTTGAAGAAACTATCAAATGAAGGCTGGCAAAGTGAGAGAGCGAAAATGATTTGAAGAGAGGCCAAATCAAATGAGCAGCAAATTAAACAGGACTTAAAGTGAATAAGTTCAGTCCGGAATGGTAAGTAAGTACAAGTTTTTCGAGCTCACATTTATACCTTTTTTTTATTTTTTTTTTATTTTTAATTTTTTCGATTTTATGTAGTGTAAAACCTGTACATCCATATTATCTATTAACAACAGATTATTTTTATACTCATTCACGAAAGTGAATCAGTATATTGGTTTTGTGCAATGTCCGTCTTGCTGTCCGTCCGTCTGTCCGTCTGTCCGTCTGTCCGTCCGTCCGTCTGTCCGTCTGTCCGTATGAACGCAATCTATTTCGGCGCTATTGAAGCTAGAGACTTGAAATTTGGAACACATACTCGTGTATATCTCCGATTTATAAAGTGTTAAAATTTTCCCGATCCGCCCACTAGGGGCGTGGCAAATCGGAAAATGCATTTTCCGATATACCAGAAATCATATAAGTTGAAGAGCTAGAAA